TTTTTTTTTTTTTTTTTTTTTTTTTTTTTGAGGGTTTGTGAAGGAAAAAAACTGAAGGCGGAGTTGTGTTCTTGAGGTTTTTATGCAGTTTTGAAGGGGACAGTGGGAAAATGTGGCTTAAAAACGCGTTAGATAAAAGCAGAAAAAATAAAGATAAACGCTGACAAGCCGCACCAACTTGAAAGACGCGCTTTTTTTTTCTTAATAATCTCCGTAATTTATTATCGGGAAATGCTACAGTCCCGTTACGGAATCATTTCGTTCGGATTTGTAACCGTTAGATCAATTATCTCTGAGGGTTAGATGATGGTCTAACGGTTACAAACCACGACGGAATAGTTCCGTAACGAGACCTTACATTTTCTTTTATTATATTATCCTAACTTAATAAATTTATTTTTAACAATTATTATATATCATTTAATAGCTTGCTGAAGTGGATTATTATTCATTGAAAAAACTGAATCTTTGTCATATTTTGGAAATTTGTCATATTTCCTATATCTTAGACCAGTATTTATTTATTTATTTTATGGAAAATAATATTTTCTTAAATGGTACAAAATCTTTATTTTTATTTAATTTCCTAATCACTTCTTAAATTGGTGCCATTTGAAATTATTTATTAAATCCCCAATTGAACCGAAAGTCGTGTTAGAAATATTCTCCTTAAGGCCTCATTTACTAGAGTGGATAGGATTGGATAAGGTTGGTTAACCAACCTTATCACCTGTTTACCAGGCATTATACGGATTGAGTATCGGCTGATGTGTATGGTGTGTTGCGCGTGGGTCCCGCTGCTTAATGTCGAGCTGGCGGTATAGTTTCGTCCGGCCGATTTGGGCGGATTTTTTAATCCCTCTTTATCTTTCCAATTTTGTCCAAAAAATTGGTCGCGAAAAGTCTATTGTACCCCTGAATGTCAATGAAATTACGAAATTAGTCGTATATAATATATTTTCACCTGAATCGAATCGTCACTCTCATCCTCGCCCGAGCTGCGCAAACCCTAGGTACGTCCGCCCTCAGTGCTCTCTCGCTCGCCCAGCTTCGTGTTCTTCAATTTGTTTTTAATTTTCGTATACGAAATTTATCCTTCACATTACCATGTTTAGGTGTCCATTGCTTCGTCTCCGGCGGTCAACATCTGGTACAGGTACGCCAGAATTCACGTTTTAAAGCGTGTCGATTGTTTCAGTTAAATTCGTTACCAATGATTTAGGGTTCGTGAACAAGTTAGAAATTTTTGTATAAACCCCAAGATTCTTGTTTTTATACAACATACATATGTACGGATTGCTTGCTGATGGGATTGATGAGTGTATATATCTGTCATTTTGTGTTGTTTTTTGTTTGATTATTTATATTTGTTTTAATTTAAGCAGAAGATTAGTGCTTCTGTTAAAAGCGTTAACCAAGATTTTTTTGTCGCACTGTTGTAATATTGCAAAAATTTGTGTTGTAATATTGCTAATATCGCAGGTGTCATTTGCATCTTGTTGTTCGAAGATTTTTGCACAAGGTATCCCTGCCACTATAATTTTGTTATTCGCCGAAGTAATTTGTTTGGCTATCTTTTAGTTACCTTTACCTACTGTTATATATTTTTTTTTGATGATTTCAAATCTTATGAAATTTAGGGATACAATGTGGATGTATGTTCTATATACTGCGACTGTGTATACGTGTTTATTGCTTCCTATTTTGTGCTTGAAATATGCCCGAGTTGGAGCCCGTGTTTAAATATGCCTAAGCTTTGTTCTTTATTATACTTGCTATCAGAAGTTTAAAAGGTAATTCGGGCTTTGGGTGGAATGAGATTACCAAAACTTTTTCCTGCGAAGATCATGTATGGATAGCATGGTTAAAGGTAAGAATCTAATAAGAAAACACGTAGATTATTTTGGTAAACATATATAACACCATCTACAATTATGGATGGTCGATGTATTTCGATGTTGTAGGTGGATCCTAATGCCAAATCTCTGAGGAACAAGTCCTTCCCACACATCCACGATTGGGCGGAGATCTTTGGGAAGGACAGAGCAACTGGAGAAAATGCACAGAGCTTTGAAGACGCAGCAAACGAAGTGCCAGCTCAAGACATGCAACAAGACATGCAGCAGGACACACCAGACTCCGACCATGAGGATGTTCCACTACGTAC